ATATGATCTAAGAACGCAGATATGCGGTTTCACGACCCTGGCGGTTTTTCAAAAAGAGCTTATGAATCTTGGAAGATAAAGTTTTGTTTATGCGAGCAAATTGCTTAAATAGGCATTTACGTTGACCTTAGAAACTCAGTTTTACAACTATTTCTAGACGCATGAGACCCCCTAACCCTACCGTTAAAAGATGCTTTTGATACAGACCATGTTAAATTAATAGAAGAAAGGTTTGGCTGCATTTTTGAATTCACTCCTTTTCTTATGGTGAGCAATTATAACCCAGTTTTTGCTTGCCACCCTTTCCTCTAGCCTAACTGGCTTCATTAGTTGGCCCTTGTAAATAGTTTATCGATTGTGCCAAGGTCATTTCACCTCTTTCTACTGGTAATTAATGCAGGGGCGGATCCAGAGAAAATTTGAAGGAGGGGCAGTTGGTAGCTGAAAAATTTTTCAGAAAATGATGACGAGTGTACGCTGTATTCACTTTGTAAGGACATTTTTCACAATAATTGTTGAATACTTTGAGGTTATCCTTGAAGTAAATTTGCCTGTAAGTCTCAGAAACTTTTTCACCTGCTTCTCACTCCTCAAAAGGGGCGCAACATTTCCAAAATAGGGGTGCTATAGTTGCTTCAACTCAGTGAGGGAGGGGCAACTACCCCTAGTTGCCCCCCTTAAATCCGCCACTGAATTAATACCATGTTTGCCAGATATTCAGGGGAAATGGTAGCTTCCTGGGATGATATGGGTGTCACTTCTAATAAGGATCAAAAAGCAGTCTCGAACCAAATACCTTTGAAGCAGGAGACAAGACTTTTATCATTACCCTAACCTATCACATTTACTTTCCCTTATCTGCCTACAACGGATAGAAATCACAACTGATCGCTAAATTTTTACATTAAAAGTGGGAAGTGATATTTCATCAATATGCTCTCTAGCAATCTAACACTAGCTGTGTTACCTATCGTTTCCTGAAATTTGCCGTTTCCCTACCCTCCAAGGTCCAATGTGTCAGTAGTTATGCAAGGCAAACGAGCAATTACTTGCTCTTTTTAGACTTTTAGATAATAATTGTTTATTACAAAAAGTAATACCTTAGAAAATAAGCTGGTTATTCAAGTAATGATGTGCCAAGTTCACTTATTTTTTCTGCTGTACTCCTCACTTTTCTTTTTGTCACCAAGACTGTTTTAGCCATGTATCTTATCTCCCAGGACTCAGAAAGAAACACTTTTAACCCTCTAATTTTCTCTTTTGGGTCTTATTAGTTGGAGTCGTTTTGATGGGTCTAACTCTAATTTGGGCCTTATTGCTCTAATTTGATGGTTCTTATTTGGGGGGAAATGGGTCTGATCAAAAATGTCGTGATCACTCTGCTTCACTCTGCTTAGCTGTGTTCCAGACCCCCAACTTGAAAGTAGAGGTCTACTTTCAAGTTAGGGGTCTGGAGCACAGGCTAGGAAATGCTTTGCTTATTTAGCTTTTTGTTTCCCGTTAAAGAGGTTATTAATCATGAATTAAACGCATTTTCATAAAAAATGGCAAGTCAGGGTGGTCATTTGTTCAAAAGGTAGGGCGAATGAAAGGTTTTTGCTTCAAAGGTTGACAATATTCGTGGGGTGGAGGGACACAATTCGAAGATTTACTGCAATCTCAGCCAAGATTTACATTATACACTTTGTCGGAAAGAGAGACTCGGATATTTCAATATGATTAACGATTTAAGTTTCAAATCGATCTTAAATTTGTTCCTCTTTAAAAATAATTTTTCATGGGGCTTGTAACATCTATAATTGAAAATTATGAATCTTATTTGGTTTTATAAGATTTTAAACAAACTTTGCTCGGAAAGTTTATGGACTGTGTTCCGACAAAGATATTCTATTGCACATTATAATCAGGCACCATGCCCTTTGGAACGCCGGAAACGCCCCTTGTAAAAATACTTGCTTTTTTCCACTTATTATGTTTAAACAGTCCGATTCAAAGAAGAAAACAATTACTATCAAAATAGATAAACATGATGAGACACCAAGAAAATGAACAAAAAGGGCTTCCAGTCTAGAAGAACTGCTAACTTTAAAAGGTGCGCTAGAGAAAACCTTCTAAATTTTTTCTAATCTATTATTGCACAAAAGTGGGTAGGGGGGACACATCCCTTGCTAGCCCAATAGCTACCCGGTGCTTGATTATAATACGAGGAATTATAGAGATCTATATATTCTCAAGCTGAACCTCAAATCCACTAAAATGGATTTCATTACTCGGGTATTAAGGCGTGGAATTAGACTCCAGTTAATAACAGAGAACTATTATTACTACGCCTGTTTAAAATACATCTTTATAGGCATTTGATAAGCCTTGATAGTTAATTTGAGCCCCTTTAATCTATTTAAATTAAGTTAGATTTAAAGTAGGCTCCAAAATCCATTTGGTCAAAAAGGTTTCTGGGATATCTCAAGGGTGTGATCTCTAGACGAAATTTGCGGTGAGAAGCCAAAAGTTCCAGATTTTAACGCTATTCGGACTGGGAGTTTGAGCTACTAAGACTTAATGGGGGATAGGGCAGGAGTGGCCATGTTCCTTGGCCCCTCACTTTCAAATTCGCGGCGTGGGCCCTGGATAAATGATAGAGCAGTAAAGGGGAACCATTGTTCGAGAACAACAAAGACGAAAATAGGGATTTTGAATTGGAAACAAAGGATTTTATAATTCTTTGGGGGTTGATTACTGCTGTTCGGAAAAGTTTACTGCCCCTAAAAAAATTGAATTTTCGTCCTTATTGAAACACATTTAGAAGTGGAAATATATGTGGTGTCATTGTTGAGCCAGGGGATGTGAAAAGAATAAGAATAACTATTAAGAATCATTGATATTCTCCCTTATTGCCCTCTCAATGAATTATTTTTGGAGATTACTTGGTTACAGATATTTATGAATTCCTCGATAATGTTACAACAATAATGTTGTAATATAAGTTGCAACAATAAATGGAAACAGTTTATGAATGTCTTGTTGATTACTGTTTCTGATTTTGTGGAACTGGTGGTGGTTTAGTGTAAGAAAGCTGATTTCCAGACTAAATCTCCAAATTTCTGGGCAAATATCTAGGACTTAGGTTCATATAAACAGAATGAAAATGTGGCAACATAAAATGACACCCAATGAACCCCTACAAACTTTGCACTAATCATTGCTTTGTAATTACCGAAGACAAAAACAAACTACTTTGAATATCAAATATCAGCTTTTAATGGATTCTTTTTAAAACCACATCATTTGGTTTTTATTTGGCTCGAAAGAATCGTTTCATTATTTCTTTACGTCAATCGTCTGAATGTATTATTAGAAAAAACATAGAAACAGTTTATTAACTTGTTTTGCCATTCATTGTAACCGACTCATTCTAAATATTTGAAAGCCTTTTCAGAAGCAAATTAGACCAAAGATAAAGGTGCATCGAATGTGTTCCCAAGTTAATGCCCATCCTACCCCCGGCAATCTATTATAAACACTTTCTCCATGAATGAAAACTTGTTCAGCTTTTGTCCAACAATGGAAAAGGCAATTCCCTGAAAACATTAACTTCCATTCTTACATGTTACAGATCTAGCTTAATAGGTTATGAAGTTTAAAGGTCAACGAAATGTCTAATTGTCTAAGATGAATTTTATTTTATTTTGATTTATTTGACATTGTTATGACTGGGGAAGACATTAAATATTGCTTTCGGGCTTTGCCTCCTTTATATTGGTTTTAAAAAAACAGCATTTTGAATGATTAGAAAGTTCTGCAGCAAACATGATCTGTTTATAAAAAGATCGATCACAATTTTTTTAGAAACTGTAGTTCTGCCAAGTAGTCTTGTTATGTTCAGCTTTTTTGCATGCCTCGAGTGACCTCATGGTTTTTGGATTGTCCAATCTTTCCAGCTGTATTTATAACCCACCTAAGTGCACATAATATAAATTCATAAGATGTCCGTGTGGTAAACGTCTCATGTATTTTTTCTAATTTTAACACAATGTTCTATTTTAGTGCTGAAACAAAATCTGTTAAAGCTTTTGCTCTCGCAATGACGATAATTTTGATAATGACGATGATTAAATCTCCAAATTTAAAATCAAGCATTGTACGATCGGAGAAATGAAACTTTTTTTACTAAGATCCAGTCAAATTTGGAATAACATCCCCTTTGAGGCTTCGAGGTAAGAAATGCAAGCGTACGAGATTTTCAGCAAAAAAGAATTTCAAAGGTTTTCTGATAAAACTGCCAGGATTTCTATCATATGTGTACGAGATTTCCATGGAGTGATTTTCCCCTATATGAAGATGATGATGAAAATTTTATGATGAAACTTCATATAATGTCATTTAAAAAATGAAACTTTTTCTGCTAAAAGCACAAAGGTAGTTAAGTAAGGAATATAAATATTTCTTATGAACGCTGTAAAATTTTGAATAATGTCTTAACATCCCAATCGACATAAGAAATCCAAACAACATAGGAATCTTTAAAAAAGCAAACGAAGCCAATTTTAATCTCTCGCGCCAACAATAATGCACCCATTATGACAATGGTGATAATGGTTTGATTATGATGATGATTATGATCATAAAAGATGGCAAAGATTCGAGAAGGATTATTTCGGAATAAGCGATATTCATGGACTACCGGATAATCAGGCGAATTTGTTTACAAATTAAAACCAATGAAATCCCTAACATCCGGCCTGTTCTATAATTTCAACGTTATTATACGAGATTTTAGTTACTAGACACAGATAAAACCCTAATCATTTCGGCAAAATGAAAAAAAACAAAATTCGTTTTCATATTTGTTTATAAATAAATTATAAAGGAACAAAGCTGGAATCTTTTCATGGTTGCTGCACTCTTCAAAGAGGAGATAAATTGTTGCCATTCACGTGCCTAAATTCCCTCGAGTGTGTTACCCCCTGGTAAGAGGAAACAATCTTCGAAAGCAAAGAAATGACGCCCCCTTCGATTGAAAGTGAGCAGCGGCCTGTTTTATAAAAATAGGTTGTAAAATATTTCTAAATTAATGGGTATGCAAAGAGGATGGTCGACAAACAATTGTTGCTGAGCTGAGCAATTGCCAAGCGTGTAAGCCTGTCATAAGTACAAAACCACAGAAACATCAAGGCTAATGTTATTTGTTAAAGGGATCTCGATGCAAGGACCTTTATAGCGAGCGAACGAAAGGCAGAAAAGAATATTGATCGCATTAGGTGCGCAATTGGAGCGCATCAAAGATGTCAATGTTGGATTTTACAATGAAATTGAATGGAATCAATGGCTTACGGAGGTAACGAATAATACAGATAGGATACCCAGCTTTGATCGTATTGGTGCTCTCTATCCAGGGTGCCGTTTCATTAGTGAAAAGCAAATGTCGTCACAAGAAAACATCGATATTGAGTATTTGCCTTTATCTAATGAAAACAGCAAACATTCTATGAATGATCGGACAGATTTAAGTCTGGATTTGAAATATACTTCAGGAAACAAACAGAGAAAATCGCTAAGTCGAGACAATCCAAATAGTAATACCTTAGATTTGAGGATAACAAAGGATCAAAACACTGCACCCGAAATCGAAGAAAATAAATCAAAAATACCGCGGCAGCTTCGAAAAACTATCAGTTCTGGAGGCATTAACCCAGTTTCGTCTTCAAAAGTCGTACTGAGACGCTGGACGTCAGTAATACAGGACGAAGAGAAGTCACTTAAAAGGCATTCAGCTTCGTCTATCCTCGAGAGAAGCAAAGAAGAAAAGGTCGTATTTAGGCCCGTCTCTAGTATCTTGGTTAGCACACCATGGGCGAAGTATTTCAAGGGAAATTCTTCCAAGGAGGCTAGAGAGCCAGAGGAAAAGGCTGATGAGAAGGAGAAAAGTGACGAAAAGGTTCAGACAAGGAGAGCACAATTCGCTAGCTCGGACAGCTGTTTGGCTGAAAAATTTGAACAGTCAAGGGAACCGAGAACTGGAAGCGTCGTTGGAAAGGGTGGCTGGCACTCAACCGTTGGGAAATCAGAAATACAACAAAATTTGTTTAACCTTAGTGATCAGTCTAGTAGCAGCATTGGATTTTATGCCAATAAGAACGAAAAAAACGGGGAAATTGATGTAAGCAGTTTACCTAGGGCAAAACAATTTAACGGTGACATTTGTTTGGAAGAAAAGGCTAATTACGTTTTGTATAACGGAACCGCTACACCACAGGTGAAAGATAATTATTTTCAAACAACCAAACTTCCCTCAAAGCAAAATACCCAGGAAGTAAGTAAAGTAATCGAGACAGGAAACGAAAACGATTCACCCGGTAATACTGCAGAGGAAGGAGAAATGTCATTGTCCTCGGGTTCGTACTTCTATAAATCAAAATATTCTTCTGACTTTGCAGCCAACGAGCCTTCATACAGACGAGGGAATTCGAGTTCATATGGTAGACGCACTGGAATTTCGGTGGACAGGTCTTATCCTAGCACCAGGGCAGCTGACCTTACATATACATCTGCTTTCAAAATAAGTCGTGCAGCAAATATCGAAAAAAGTGGAAAAGAAACTGTTGCAGAAGTCGAGGCATTTATTTCTGCGTACAAAAGTCGAAGGGAGCGCAGTTTCGAGTATGGAGAAACAGGATATCAGAGTAATTTTTCAAGAAGGAGTGAAAGGAAATCCAGTTTGGAAAAGGCACCGCCAACATACCAAAGTCACGCAACCCGCAGCTTGACATCAAGCTACAATCCCACTTATTTGTCAAATACACCCCCTGCAAGCAGCATCTTAGATGGGGCCAAGCAACGCCAAAGTTACCTGACAAGTGCAGAAAGGGACAAGTCAGCACGCTACCTTGCCAAATCTAATAGAAGTAAGAGTTTTGATACAGATTCTGTTCCATATTCATCTTTTACCAGAACTGGAAGTGGTGGTAGATACCCAAGGAGAACAATTTCGTCAACAAATTCCTCTGTTGGTTCGAGTACATCATCTTCAAGGGGCTATAGTCCCCCTGAAAATGAACTGGACGATTCACCTTTTTATCCAGGCAAGCCTTCTACTCCACGCCAAATAAGCGGGTCAATCTTGTCGTCTGATATTCTTACTCCTAGTGAAAAAGCATTTTTCTCTGGTTCTAGCCTTTCGCATATTTCAAGTACAAATTCAAATGGAAGTTATCGAAAAAGTTTTGATTTCAGCACATCTGATTCATCTAGTTATCGTAGAAATAGTATTGGTCATTCCAACTTGAAAGCTTCTGGAGACCTAAAAAGTGATTCCAAGACCAAAAGACCTTTATCTTTAGCTAGCAGTGATAGGAGATTCTCTGTCCCATGTGGAGATGCTTTGAAAAGAAAGAGTGCAATTCTTGGTGAGCAAAATGATTCATCTTCTCGATCTCGAATCATGGGAGGAATACTGTCGAGATTTTTCGCAGAAGAGTTGCCAGAAAAAGTTGAAGAAACACCAGGTGCTGAGACAAAAACAGATCAGGATACAACTGGCAAACCATTTTCAACTAGTTGTCATTCGCAGGAGAATGTTGACTCAAATGTACAGTCTAATCATTCTGGTAGAGATGTATCGCACCAGACACAGGTGGCATGTTCTGAGAAAAATTTTCAGCAGTCACAACATAGTGGGGATTCCCAGACTGTTGTCCAGTCATCACCCTCGCCGGAGAGGCCGGAAGACCGTAACCAGACTCCGTCATCCAAAAACAGGCAGTTGGTGAGAGTGAAGTCAACTTATGTCGATGAAGTAGAACCAGCAAGCATGGGTAAAGATAAACCATCACACAAATCCAAGGGGAAGCCAGTTGATGGGGCTGAAAAACAAGGTAAATTTTCTTTACAAGTTATTTCAGTGTTTATTGCCAGTTTAATTACAAATTGAGATTGCCGCTTTCAACACTTTCCTCCCCAAACCAAGTTCTTACATAGCGTTTAATCCTACTAATAAAATTGCTGACAGACAACTCAACATTACTTAAAACATAAACTGTACACGAGTGGTGACAAGTGCAGTATAAATTGTCAGATTTTGTTCTAGGCAACGCCAGGCCATTTTATTGCCATCTTCCCGTGATTTCCCTGGACGCCATGGCCGTGATCCTTCGGGATTTACTTCTGTCGTTCGAAAAAAGCGCGTTTCGAAAAGCCTTTGTTTCCATTATTTAATCGCAAGACCTTATCTCCAATGAGGCTAGTCAACTAGCAGGTGCTTGATGAGGAATGATCATACTTTGACCGAAAGACATTTGAATCTAGTCTTGTTGTTTTTCAACATAACGGGCGGTTTGTTATTTTAAATCCTGGAGCATGATTCGAAAGCGACAAATCGCCTGAAACGCATCACACACATTGCTCTAATTTTTGTTAGAATCAACACGAAAATTGCAAATTCAATAATATGTAAGTACGGCTGAATTGCCTACACTCTACTTTTAAGTATTATCAACTTTAAAACTTCAGGTACTTGCTGAAAGTAAAACGCCCGAGATTGTCAGTTTGGTTGATTATTAAAATCTTCTTTCTGACCTGCGTTTTCCGTAAATCTTGCCAACAAAATGATGATTTAGATTTCAGAAAAGACCCAGATTTTCGTAGTAAACAAACTTTTAGTTTGTTTAGCAACTAATAACAGCACGTTACAAAGGATGCGATCAGGTAAAAGTGTCATGGATACGAAAAGCGAATTACGAACCACACTTATGATATAAGCCTCTTTAATTATGAATTTAATTTAATAAGAACAGGAAGCTCATTTGTCTTCTAAGAGGGCTGTAGTTTCTTTAGCTGGTGTTTGCAGAATACATTCTCCCTGCTAATGTCTAGGACAAAGGCGTTTATGAAGTGGTGTACCCATATGACAGTTGAATTTTTCTTTTCCATGTAATATGACCTAAGAATTCAGCCGTGTATTTGCATATAATTTAATTTGTAATAGATATGTCACTTTTAAGCCCTTCATGAGCCATCAAAAGTGTCTCTAATCTTTATTTATATACAGACTCTCCTTTTTGAGTCTTGGAGTCTTTACTATGGTGTGCTAAGGGCTTAGTGGTTCCTATTCCGAGCACCAGAAAAGATGTGTCGTAACTAGTCAGATTGATGCTTGTCCTGGTTGCATTAAAGATCTTCAGAGTAGCTTCTTTGAATCAGCTAGATTTACATCACCCTTAAAAAAGGATTTTTCAAAAGTCCAGTTTAATTTCTATTTAGCCTTTAACACAACAGCTGTGTACATTTTAATCAATATAGATAATTTTATCATTTAGAGTACCCTTTGCAGTTTTGTGTCCCTGAAGCTTACAGCCAAAGTTTTTCAAGCTTGCTTTTAACAAAAATATCTTAGATTTCCATTTCAAATTGTTTCTTGCTTTCAGCAGACAAAATATTTTCTATAAAGGTCAGTGTTGTAGAAGCCAGAGGGCATGTGCCCATCTTTTTGTTTCTAAACTTGATGTCTGATCAGGGGGTATGTGCCCATTCCTCTCAAGTTTAAAACTGTCTGTGGTCTTTCTTTCAATCATGTGCTCTTTTCATCTAATACATCTAATACAATACAGAATTTCATAGCAAAAAAGCTAAAGTAAAACATAATTTATTAGCCAAACACAGAGGCCCCTGGGACAAAAGAATCTGCCTCGTAAAATTCAAGGTCTCCTACTTGAGTTTTTCTTCATAGAACTTTCCTTATATCAGCAAGTCTAAGCAAAATGCTGAAACTGTAAAATAAAACATCACTTCTTGCAGTCATCAAAGCACAACACTTGCTGAGCAACCACTTTTTCATTTCTTGTGGGTGCAGCAACACACAGCTGAGAAGATGGAGCTATCTCTAGAGGACCTGGCTTTTAGTTTTAAGTTTTATTTTGTATTTGTTGATGGCTGTTATCTAATGCCTGTCTGAAAAAGAGTCATTGACTGCAGGCACCTAATCCTTTGTACTTTGAGCAATGTGATAGTTGATACTATCTACCACTTTCTGGTACAATCCTGGTCATGGGTCAGCCTGTATTATTAATTGCTTTTTATGGCTTTTCCATCTAATCCTTTGATCTTTTTTAAGTAATTTTTTTACTTTTAGGATCTTCTTCATTATTCAGATATATACCTGGCCACGAAAGCTGTATTCTTAGGTTGATTTTTTGTTTGATTTCCCGTGTAATTACCTTTGGTTATAAAAACCTGGAATTTTCCATAACTATAACAACATTATTCCATATTATAATGATAGTACTAGGAGTTCTGCTCTGCACCCTATAAATCTGCTATCAAAAAGTACTTATAAAGCCTAAGTACTTTGTAAATTGCACCTGACGTTTGTGCTGCAGTGGTTTTGCTTGAAATTAAAAAGGCCAAAACAAATCCTTTTCTTGAGAATATATCATAAATACAGTTATAAAAAGTTTTATAGGGATATTAAATTAAGGAAAGTGCATATAATAAGAAAAACCATGGTGCATTTCTGTCTTTTGCAGTGGCTGATCTAATGAATGCTGGGCCTAGGGCCAGAAGCATCTGCTGGGCCCTTTGTACTTTACAACTTTTATTGTTTTCTTTGGTGTCGGACCCCTTCTGGTTACCATAAGCGTAGACCCTGGGATGGAGGCCTCCCTGTACACCCTAAAACTGTCACTGGTCATCCATTTCTTTTACTGACAAATTCATTCAATTTGCATTCTTAGTGTAAAAATTCCATATGTTGTGATTTTTTCTGATTGTGATGCAAGGTCAATTTTTAAACCACTTCTCCCACCACGACGCTTGTCACTTGATTCAAAATCAAAAGATTCAAAATCAATAAATTGCCAAAAATACCTTCTTTCAAATTGCATCTGAAATTCACTATTCTAAAAACGCAAACTCTGTTCTCCTAGTCAAGACATTAATGCTACCCCCTGATTTTTTAGGTCTCCTAGACCGATGTTTGCTATTATCTAAAGTGCAGTGTTTGCTATTTGTCATGTCTTGTTGTTAATCTACAAGTGCCGAAAATACCTGTTGGAATGCATCTTTTCGTTTATTGTTTTTAGAGAGGTGTAAACGAATGGCAGTGTTGCTTAATTAAACATGAGTTCAAATTGTTAGAAAAAATTTGATAGAACGTGAATTTTTGTTAAGACATGTTAAGACTGCAGCACTGTAAAAAGGCACATAACAGTCTTTAAAAGATATTCATAAATACACAATCATTAGTGTCATGCCCTACCTGCTTCACCTCAAACTCCAAATGCCACTTCGCCTTATTTCGGATTATTTTCACTTTCAAGGAAAGGTTGTACTAATGGCTGTTCCTGCAACCCCATAAAACTACTGTTTCGAAAATATGTTTCCTGTTTTTATAAATTTGGAAAAAGTCTGTTGTTATACCGGTTTTCGTTTTTCGAGAACACCCTCCAGGGTTCTTGTAGGAGGTTCTGAAGAGTTGAATTATCTGAAAAAAATGTTAAATCCCTGCCAATAGTCCTCGTGACGCCCTGATGCTTAAGTCGTTATTGTGACTGATTTGAGAAATTTGACATTTTGTAGTAGAAATGACCGTTTTCTCACCCTCTCTACCACAAACAATGATAATTGTAGATATAAATATCATAGCTATCTGAAACGAATGAATTTGATAACAGCAAAACTCTTAACGTGGAATAAAGCAATTTTTTTCAGAGGGAAATAGGGAATTTATTGATAATACTAAAAATTGTAGTGTAGTGCACCTTAGCTTAGTGGATCCTTGCAGTATTTTCCCTCTATTCAGGGATTGTTGAGGGATGCTCGTCGTTTTTAAGTAGATTTTTAGTAACTAGTTCATTGTAGTTTTCGTAGTAGTGATGATTGGCGTAGTTTTGGACCCCATACTTTCCTTTAAACGGTAGGGCAAGTCGTTATTTGATAAAATCATTTGCTTTTCATTTATTGAGAGAGGGGTTTATCGAAGAAAACACTCAATTTCCCGCCGTAACCAATGCAAATCTAACTCTAGATTCTATCAACTACACAATTTTTTTAATAACCATTTTATTTTTCCTGGGCCTTTTTATTCTTAATTTTTTATTTAAAGCCCAAAGTATATCTTAAATCGTTTTTAAGCGACACAATGTGTGAATTTGGAAAGGATCGAAATAGAAAAAGCAAGTTCGTGATTAAAAACGATATCCTTATGAATTTCATCCTTGAAGAAAGTGTATTGACGTAAAATCTTAGGACTTAGGTTTGAACTAAAAGCTTATGTGTTTTAGGAAATAAGCTTTGAAAACCCCATGGTCTTTTTGTTGATGGTTTTTCGTCTTTCATCGGTAAGTTGTAACGGTATAGGTTCCAGGCAGCTGTCTGCTTTAGCCAATGTTGTTGAAGTAATAATTCCCCTTGCGTAGTTCCTAGTTGATCTTTCTTAATGAGATGTTTCTGCTGTTCATCAAAACCTTGATTTTTGTCAGTGTAAGCGCCACGGTGAATATTCGTCTTTTGAGCATGGAGGACGTAGCTAGCGGGGGGAGGGGTGTAAAGGGTTGACACCCCAAATACTTCATGAGGTAGTCGGTAAATCTTCAGTTGCTCCACAACATCCTTACTTCTCGGTAAAAACATCTGCCGGTAGGTGAAATAGCACCTGAGTTTTTCTTCATTGATGTCTTCGTCGGTAAATTTTACTCTTGCTGACCCTCCACCTCCCTCTCTCCCCAGTCTGGAAAGTCAAGGTACGCCATTGTAAGCCTACCCAAAGAGTTGTTGCTATGTGGTTCAATGTTCTGCTTTATGACCAAACGCGTTACCAGTTTACTTACCATTCTAGTATTTTTATTCGTGATATGATTGTCTTTTACCTGCTTTTCCAGCT